CTACATACCCATGGAAGAGCTCTAAGATCATGTGCAGTCAAGTCTGTAATCTGAAGAGCTACACAAGCTCATTTAGGAAATACTTACCTGATTCTAAGCAAAGATGAAGGGTATTCGATATATTCTAGGAGAGGTTTGTATTTCTCTACACAACTAATCACACTATATTTTTTTATTTAATGAACATATTATTTTTTATCATTACACCTGGACAAGGATTTTTATTGAATAAACATTTTACGAATGTGAACAGGCATGAGGTATCCAACATGAGCCACCTGGCTTTAGGAGAGTTAGCTGAAGTTAAAGGAACACTCCGGGCAGGATAGCAACGTATCAGACTGAAGTTGTTATTTGTGCCAGGAGGTCCTAGCTGCTTTGATACCTGAAGGTGTTAAACCGTTCTTGAACAGTTTAACTCCAAAGGTTACAAAATTAGGTCAAGGCAAAACTTGCCTGAGTTACAGTGCTGTAGCCCAGCGCAACTAGGTGGAATGGGCCTTGACAGGGCTAGGATACAAGCACAGGAGGTTTTAATATGGGGGGGGGGGGAGTTGGCTATAGAAAGTAGGAGTGGGGTTTTAGATTATGGGAGTACATATAGCGGCCATTTTAGATCAAGGGCCATCCTAATTAATCCTCACTTAACTGTTTTGTCCCACTCTCCCTCCCTTTAAGTAGGTTTTGGATTCCTTTTCGTCACGGCGGTGGGGGATGGATAAACAAGTTGGGGTATATGTTGTTTGTCCAGATGTGACATAGTTTGCTAAATTCTGTTAGGTTTTGTTAGATTTTTGGTTGATTTGAGCTTGTCGGTAGCTCTGAACCTGGTGTGTGTAGGGTGTATCTTGGTATACCCCTACATGTTGGAACATGGTAAATCATGCTCACGGTGGCAATGGTTTAATTGGTTAGATGTTATTTATGTTAATATATGTTAATATTGTTGATTATGGGGGTCATTGTCAGGGTTCATTTGTTAAAAAAGTTGGGGCTGAGATGTTATGTTAGATATGTTGACAATGACCCTAAATATTTTATTTATATTGTAATTATTAATAAAGCTGTGATATTTTCCCAAACATAAGGTGTCCGAGTATGCTTGGGTTTTTGGGGGGTTGTTTATACCGCATGTGACGAAAAGGCGACTATGCATATGTCATGCCACCCACCCCATGTGTTCATGTGTTCCCTGTTTAGGTTTAATAAGTGTGTAGAGCAAGCACGTCAAACTCACGGACCATCTTTGCGGCCCGGCGAGCTGCGAGTACATGCTGTTGTTATAGCAGAGTAGGCACCTGCTTTCCCCATATTGCAGGTGCCTATTCTGCTAAAACTTACCCGGCCGAGAAGGAGGACCAGCGAGGGAGCTCAGTGTTCCTGCTCCTCACTGCTCCCTCGCGCGCGCCGACTGAAGTGAAGCCGGGCGCCGAAATATGACATCATATTCCAGCACCCGGCACCACTAAACCGTGCGAGAGAGCAGTGAGGAGCAGGAAGAAGATCTCCAGGGAGATGCCCCACATTGGCTCCAAAAGGTAGGGAACAATAAAGTAAAATGTGTGTGTCTGTCAGTGTGTGTGTGTCTGTCTGTGTATGTCTGTCAGTGTGTATGTGTGTCTGTCTGTCAGTGAGTATGTCTGTGTGTGTGTCTATCAGTGAGTATGTGTGTGTGCCTGTCTATGTGTGTCTGTCAGCAAGTATGTGTGTCTGTCAGTGAGTATGTGTGTGTCAGTGTGTCTGTATGTGTGTGTCTGTCTGTCAGTATGTGTGTGTGCATGTCTGTGTGTGTGTGTGTGTGTCTGTCAGCATGTATGTGTGTGTCTGTCAGTGTGTTTGTATGTGTGTGTGTGTCTGTCTGTCAGTGTGTGTGTCTAACAGCAAGTATGTGTGTGTCTGTCAGTGTGTGTGTGTGTGTGTGTCTGTCTGTGTGTCTGTCAGTGAGTATGTGTGTGTGCCTGTCTGTGTGTGTCTGTCAGCAAGTATATGTGTCTGCCAGTGAGTATGTGTGTGTCTGTCAGTGTGTCTGTATGTGTGTGTCTGTCTGTCAGTATGTGTGTGTGCCTGTCTGTGTGTGTGCGTGTGTGTGTCAGCAAGTATGTGTGTGTCTGTCAGTGTCTGTATGTCTGTATGTGCGTGTCTGTCTGTCAGTGTGTGTGTATGTGTGTGTGTGTCTATCAGCAAGTATGTGTGTGTCTGTCAGCGTGTGTGTATGTGTCGGTCTGTCTGTGTGTCTGTGTGTGTGTCTGTCTGTCAGTGAGTATGTCTGTGTATCTGTCAGCAAGTATGTGTGTCTGTCAGTGAGTATGTGTGTGTGTCTGCCAGTGAGTATGTGTGTTTCTGTAGGTGTGTGTCTGTCTGTCAGGGAATATGTGTGTGTGTGTCTGTATGCATGTGTCTGTCAGTGAATATGTGTGTGTGTGTATGTGTGTGTCAGCGGGAGGATCAGATTTGGCACAGGGTGGTAGAGGGGGTGCGATGGTTTAGTAGGGGGGGCTGGGATTTATTAGAGAGGGGTGTGTGGTTTAGTAGAGGGGGGTGCTGGGGTTAAAAATAAAACCTAAGTTTCTATGAAAATGTAAGGTTTTTTTTTTTTTTTCGGCCCACATAAACCTTAAACCTTGTTTATATGGCCAGACTTTGAGTTTGACATGTTTGGTGTAAAGGTTTAGAATAATACTTCTTTGTCTCATTAGAAATTTGCCTTTTATTTCAAAGCAGCAAGTTGAATTGTTAGTGTAAGACTCACCTAAGAGGTTTCGCCTTGATGTTGCAGGTGAGTTTACACCTTAATGGCCACTGGAGGGATACTAAAAAAACACCAGTTATTTAAATGTGCCTAGGGATTTGGGATAGTGCGCACATAACTCTTTTCTTTGTTTTTTTAACCTAAAAGGTTGCCTCCAATCTAGAATTCGCCCAGCTTTTCAATTAAGTTGTTCTGGTGTCCAGAGTGTTCCGTTAATGGAAGATATAGATGAGTGAAACTAATTTGGATTAGGATTGGAAGGAACAAAAATAAAAAAATCACAGCGGGGCAAAGAGAAGATCCGTTTTGAACTAAAATTTTCGAATTGTTATTGATCAGTGATATGGGCCTAAAATTGGAACATCTTTTGGGAGCTTTTCCAGGTTTTGGCAATGTGACAATGTGTGCGCACAAGGACTCCCCTGGCATCTTCGCCCCGGACTTATAGGAATTAAACAATTTGGTCATATGGAGTATTTCTGGATAGGTCTTATAATATAAAATAGTGAATCCATCTGGGCCTGGGGCCTTTCCAGATGGCATAAGTTTGACTGCCTCAGCTATCTCAGCATCAGTAATATCACAACCGAGGCAATGACACCTTATCTTTAAAATTATTAATTGTTGCCTCTGACGTCTGGGTGATAGTCGAATCCAATTTCACATTATAAAGTTCACTATAATAATTTGCAAATTGATAGATTTACGCTTTTCTGTTCGTTGATACATCATTCAGGATTTTGATTTCCACAGTGGTGTATAGCCCAAAAAGTTATTATAATTAGTATCACGTTGCATGAAATATAAAATAATATAGGTATACAAACCAATAATGTATAAAGTAGAAAACGATGTAAAGATGTTAATGCACATTTGTGCGGAACGGAAATTATATTTTAACTTTTTATGATTTTTACTATTTGAGTTACATTGTAATGTTATTTTTACATAACATAAAAGCAAGTTTCAAAACTTCTGATATTTGTATGTTGCATACTTGTTCACATGAATATTTGATAGAATTTGATTTAGCAGTTTAAACCATATTAGGTGAGTCATTTTCATGAGTCATTTTGGGTAATTCTCTACCAGTTTAAAATTTATGGATGTTGTAGCTTTTGCCTATCCCAGCTGGCAACGATTTTCAAGTTCAATCCTCTTGGATGGTCTTGCCTCAGATTCTGTTCTAAAGGATTAAGGTTTTGATCATTCTTAATACTTGTTTTAAATTTCCCCTTTATAAATCTAGTGCTGTGTTTAAAGGAACACTATAGTGCCCGGAATACAAGCATGTATTCTTGACATTATAGTCCACAAGTGGCTGTTTAGGTGACCGGTCCCCCTCCGATCTCAGTAAAAATTTAAGTTTACATACCTTTTATCCCAAGCAGCCCCGGTTTTGCTGATGCAGGCCCCACCTTGCTCCACCTCCAAGGCTGAGATCAGTGGCGTACACATGACCCATGGGGCCCCGGTGCGAAAATTGATCCGCGGGCCCCCCGCGCGCGGGCCGGGGCCGCAACACATGGCAACCCCTGCGACCGCGGTATGTACGCCAGTGCACACACTTAAAGGACCACATCAGCTCAATGAAGTGGTCTGGGTGCCAGGTCCCTCTACTTTTAACCCTACAGCTGAGGGTTAATCCAGCCTCTAGTGGCTGTCTCATTGACAGCTAGTGTGTATGCGTCTGTTTGTTACAGTGTGTGTGTGTGTCTTAAGCGCTTACCTTTCTCCAGCGCCGGACTCCCATGGCGCTGGGGATCCCTCCACCTCTCAGCTCCGAATGCACATGCGCGCAAGAGCCGCGCGCGCATTCAAACCGCCCATAGGAAAGCATTACTCAATGCTTTCCTATGGATGTTCAGTGTCCATTCAGTGTCGCGGAAGCTCCTCTAGCGGCTGTCAATGAGACAGCCACTAGAGGCTGGATTAACCCTCAGTGAAACATAGCAGTTTCTCTAGCAGCCCTGCAACCCCTGCGACCAGGTGCCCGCCGCCATGTGTTGCGACCCCGGCCCGCGCGGGGGGGCCCATGGATCAATTTTTGCACCGGGGCCCCATGGGTCATGTGTACGCCACTGCACACACTAACACTCACACAAACACACTCACACTAACACACACACACATTTTTTTTTACATTTAATCCCCCCAGACTCCTTACCTTTTGGAGTGCTGGGGGGATTCCCTGGGGTCCAGTGGTGCTGCTGGGCTCCTGGGAGGCCGGTCACTGGGCAGGCAGGCTGGCGGGCACACGAGGGAACACTCTCCCCTGTGTGCTCCCTCTTCAGCTCCCTCGCGCTGCCGCGTACTGATGCCGGAGCCGGAAGATGGCTTCATCTTCCGGCTCCGGTATCATTGCGGTGCGCGAGGGAGCTGAAGAGGGAGCACACAGGGGAGAGTGCTTCCTCGTGCGCCCGCCAGCTTGCCCACCCGGTGACAGCAGGGCCAGCATCGAGGGGCCCTGAGGTGGCCGGCTCCTGGGCCCCCAGGTATGTACGCCACTGGCTGAGATCCTAAGTCTTGATGATCTCAGCCAATCCAATGCAAGCCTATTGCACATGTGTTGCAAAACACAGCCCTGGTCAATAAGCTTCTCGTCATAGAGATTAACTGAATCAACGCATCTCTATGGAGAACATTCAGCAACTCAATGGACATGGTGATGGCCATCTGAGTGACTAGAGGTGTTACTATGCAGCAATGTCAACACTACCTTTTCTCTGAATATAAAATGTATTCACCAAACACAAGGCAACCTTTCGTTCCTCCAGTTGGACCTTTATCGAGGGAGTACCGATATGTAGCCGATGGATCAGCGCAGCTAAGAGGAATAGGCCTTGACAGAGCCAGGAGGTAGGCATAGCAGCCACAGGAATTTAGTGACAGCTAGCATGCTGGGTAGGGCGGAGCCATAAGGGGAGTATTTATGCCAGCCATTATATGAAGTGGCCATTTTAACTGAACCTAAGCTTACCTGTCAGTTGTGAAAGCTGCCTGCCCTGGAGGGAGAAGGCAGCAGCATGGAGGCAGCATAGAAGAACAGGCAGCATGGAGGCAGCATAGCAGAACAGGCAGCATGAAGAACAGGCAGCATGAAGAACAGGCAGTACTGAGACAGGAGGCAGCATGGAGGTACAGGAGAGGCTGGAGTGAGCTGCTACTACATGATCACTCCCATCAGCAGCATGGAGAACAGGCAGTACTGAGACAGGAGACAGCATGGAGGTACAGGAGAGGCTGGAGTGAGCTGCTGCTGCTACTGCATGCTCACTCCCATCTGCAGCATGGAGGCAGCATAGAAGAACAGAGGCAGCATGGAGGTACAGGAGACAGCATGGAGGTACAGGAGAGGCTGGAGTGAGCTGCTGCTGCTGCATGCTCACTCCCATCAGCCTCAGACAGAACTCCAAGCAAGCCACCATCCTGGTCACAAAGGTTGTGGCAGAATCGGGGCTGGTGGCTGCAGGAGCAGCTGGGGGGCCCCGAGCACGTCTGCTACCCTCCCCCCCACGCGGCGGTGGAACAGAGGCCAGCAAGGAGAGCGAGGACGCCCCAGCAGCAGCCTGTGAGTGACATCGTTAGTTCGGCAGCCCGTGAGCCTGTCAGGAGGCGGCAAGGGGAAGGCTGAGAATGAGGTCGGAAAGCAGGCAGGAGTTGGAGGGCGGCTGGCGCCGTATGTTCGACGCGGCGCCGGTCAGGCAAGACGGCAGGTCAGGATGAGGCCGCACAGTAAGAGCGCCCCCTGCAATAAGGCGGGGGGGCGGGAAAGCACAAAGGACGGCGGAATCCAGCATGACATGATGGCCGCCAGGCAGGAAGAGCTGCAAGAGGCGTCCTGGTGAGTCTGCCCCTGGTGGCATACCTGAGTGACAGGGGGAATGATGCAAGGGCCCAGCAGTGTAAAAGCGGTTCCCCCCCCCCCAATGGGCAGGCGGGGGGGTCCAGGTCGGCGGGACACAGACGGAGGCGGCCCTGGATGGGGCCAGGGTCAGGTCAGAGGTGAAGGAAGCGGATAGTGAAAGCAGCAGGCGGAGTCTTCACAGGCACAGCAGAGCAGCTATGGAGGGGAAGGCCAGCAACCAGGATTAATTAAAGGGGCCACAAGTGGATGAGGCGGCCTGGGAGAGGCCAGGTACTGCAAGCAGAGGGCAGACGAGAGGAAATGGACGTAAGGCACAGAGGCAAGCGGGAGCCCCCTGGGGGGTGTTCTCAGGAGCAGGAACACAGGAGGAGCATCAGCAGGTGTGAGTACGGCAGGGAGCAGCAACGACAATGACAGGCACAGCAGCAGCGGGAGGTCGGATGAGGGATGGAGAAGCAGGTCGAGGAGTGTTACTTCTACGGGCTTGAGGCTGGACCAGCGCGGACAGGAGTCGGCATCCACCGGATACTCCAGAGCCTGGCAAGGTGGATGGAAGGACAGCGCAGACGGAGGTTCGGGCGGTGAGTCCATAAACACACCACACTTTTTTAAAATGCATAAATCATTTTAGAGTCATGATCAAGGAAAAAAGGGGCCGTCCCCGCAGTGCCGAAGGGTGGGGTCACCAGAGCGCAGTCGGGAGGCCGAAGTAAGGGTGGTGGTGACGGCGTGCCGGGTAAGGGAAGGGGAATACGGTGTACCGGTACCGGGGACATCTGACGGGGCAGGAGAACAGTTAGATGTGTGGCAATATTCCAGGCGTGGCACAACAAAATGGGCACGTGTCCTTCGCGGGGACATTGGGGGGCACTTGAAGGTGGAGGATAAGATTTGATAAAGGGGATTTAAAATATATATATATAAAAAATTCCTGTCTTCCGCTCGAGGAGTTCATTGATTTAAAAGGGGTGGTTCCTAATGATAGTGCAGGAAATGCGCTCTTTCCGGGGGCTGACGGCGCACCCCCAGGAGGTGCTGTGCTGGCTGGACAGAAGAAAGGTCAGTACAACTGGGGACCGTCGGGTAGGCTTCGATACGGGTGTTCCGGAGGCGGTGGGAGTCACGGTGTCAACTGACGCGTCAAAAAAGGAAAACCTAAGGCAGGAAGGGTACTCGGCAGGGCTTCAGCCCCGCGGTTGCGGCTCGGAGCGGCACCAGTGATGATCAGTGCATTGCTGCTGTGGCTAAGGCAGTAAGCCTCCCATGAATGCGCTAGTTTTATGGCTGAGATTGTTGAGGGGGTTTACGCTATTCCATTCAAAGTCGAGGGACCAGGAAAAGTGGTGGGCGAATATCAAGTCCATGGGGGAACTTCCGCGCCATTAGCGGACCTGTGGGTTGTCTCCATGGGGGGTGGTCCCCTAGAAATGGGCGGGCAAATTCTGTCCAATACAAAACTTATCGCACCCAAAAGGGGCATCGGTAAATGAGGACATCGCCGCGGAACTGTTCTGTATCGTTGGCATCATTCGGCCTTGCCGTCGAGTTGGTTTGGGGGAACAGGACGCGTTCGATTATTGGCGACCCTTCCATCTTTTGGGTTGCATGTTTGCAGGTTCCTATTGGTAACCTCTACTTGCCAAGGGGCAGTTCCATTCATGTTCCTACTCGGGAAGTTGGATCCGTCTGGGAGTGGGAGGTGAAAAAGGAATCAGAAAGGGGTTCCTTAGTACATTATCTGTAAGATAGCTTGCTGTGTGGGCTCGGCTGGGCCGGGCCGTTGTGGACATACCTTACGGTCACGGGAATCCTACCGCACGTCTTTGCTTGGACTGGAAATTGTTTCGGTGGTAGGTGAGTGTCGATTTCCTGGGGTTCAGTTGACTGCACTTCGGGAGTTCAGGCTGAAGGTTCGCAGGTCCAAGAAGGTCACTGAGAAATCGCAGTTGTTCATAAGGCAGTTTCAAGTTGCATGTCGGGTTAGTCGCGAGGACTGGGTCGGTAGCCATTTCATGGCGAAGGCTACTTGTGGAGCCTTTGCGGGTGGTATCGAGTTGTTCACAGATACCTCTGGGAACATAGATTCCGGGGCATACCTGGAAGGCAGGTGGTGCGCAGAGCGGTGGTGGGAGGCATGAAAGGTAAGTCCTCTTATTCGACGTTGGCATCTTTTGAGTTATTTCAATTGGGAGTGGCTGTGGCTCTAAAAGGTGAAGGATTAAGGGATGAAAAGTCATAATTCACGCACAATACGGCGGGGTTCGTGTGGTTTACCATCCAGCCGGGTCCTCGGTTCAGGAGGTACGCCGATGGCGGCGATTCGTATCACTGTTCAGGTATCGGGTGCAGGCACGCCACGTGCCTGGTTGGCGGAAGGTAGGGGCTGGTTACTTGGCTCGCGCACAAGGGGACAAGCTGCGAATGGCGGCCCCAGGGGGCGCGGGAGGAGGGACTGTCCAGTCTGGAGGAAATGTGGCAGCTCGAGACGCCATGCTTGGAGGATCGATACAGAATCCTATCGCACCGGGCAGAGGGACTGCCTATGTGAACGCTTGAGATATGTGGGACAAGGCGGTTGGTTTCACTGTGGGGGCCCAGTCAAAGGAGGGGCGAAGGGATACCTTGCTGTGGTTCCTAAGCCGTTTGTTTGTTCAGCGTTAGCTCCATCAGCAATGGACAGGAGCATGGTGGCATTGTCGTTAGGGTTTAAACTGACTGATTGGGAGGAAGTGACGGAACGTTGTCACGTCCGTCAGGCATCGCGGGTCTTACGGAGAGATATGAAATATGTCGGTGCCGGGCGGCGGGTTTCCTTGGGTAACGCAACGCCTGGTGGTGTATTACCCTACTTTTGCAGTGAGTTTGCTTGCGGTGGCCTTCTCGGAGGCTTGGGGCAATTTGGATTGGGGAACTGGTGAGTGCCTTCGGGCAGGTGTTGGGGAGTTCTACACTTGGTTGTCGAACCTTAGTCGGTTAAGGTAACGATTCAGTAGGGTTGTTCAAGAACGAATGTGTCTGGTAAAGGAGGTTTGGTAAAGCTATATTCCCTGCCGGGGTCAGGGGTACGCCCGGTGTTAAGCGCATCATGCTACTTGGAGCTTTGCCCGGACATCCCGGGTGGCTTACTGGTAAAAGGGGACAGATCGGTGCTGTCACGATTCAATTCCCGCAGGTGTTTGTTCGAAGGGGTTTGACAATGTTGGGTTTGGATCCCGGGCACTTTGGGACCCATTCTTCCCAGGTGATGGCGGTAACAGAGGCACCCCACCTGGTTTTAAGTGAGGACCTAGGGAAACGTTTAGGCAGGTGGGAGTCAGTACGGTTTAAGTCCTGTTTCAGGCCAGTCTATTTGGTTTAATGGCTATGGACGTATGGGTTTGTGTTTGGGGCTATGCCGTGTCGCTAATTACTTTCGTTTCAGGTTTGGTGACATGGTTGGTGGGTCATTCTTATATCTAAGGGGCACAGATGGGAGCCGCGTTTCAGTTCAAACGTAACTGGGCTTTCCTTTGAAATTGGTGGAGCAGGAGTGGTTTTGTTTTTCAGGGATTT